GAAATTTCTTATAGCAACAGATTGTACTATAAAACAACAAAGGTTTACGTACAATTGACGTGAATTACATGATTACGTAAAAATTACAAATATGTCACTTATGTCAGGTGTGCTGTCTTTTGTCACGGAATATTACATCGTTACTTAGAGTTGGGAAATATTTAATGCAAGCTATGCTTAATAGTTGAAATATTTCATGAACAATTGTTATTAACGATACAGTTTCTACTTCGTGCATAAATTGATTACAGTATTTAAAATTAATATACATTATTAATTACAAACTCAATTTATAATATTTCATTATTAAGATTACACAGGTATTTGCATTTTAAATTTGTATTGTGTAATCCTTATTTTTTTATTTATTTTGGTCATCTTTTCACCTAAAATTTTATCATAAATCTCGAAAGTGGAATTTATACAAAAATAATGCTCTAAATATATGTTCCTGTTGCAATTTTGTTGCAGTATTATTACAGTTTTAAAATTGATGGAATTTCCATCCAACTCAATTAACGATCAATTTCCGCTTCATCGCGTATCGCAACGATCGAAATTATTGATTTTGATTTTTCAAAAATTTGTTTAGTGTTTTAACAGTGCTGGGTTTCGAAGATTTTTATTTCAAACTTTTTATAACAATTGCAAGAGTGTTTCTTAAATTTTAGTTCGATCAATTTTTTAACAACGTTCCCAAAAATTAAAATCGCTTTAGTAACTACGATATAACAGCTTTGTATCTTGTGATTAGGATGATATTTTCTGCATTAAATACTTGAAGTAAATAATTGTTCATTAGAACAAATAATCGAGAATTATTCAATCGAGAATTATTTTTCATTAAAGTTCGCCAAATATTTAGTGAAAATGTGTTACTAGAAATTTGACTCTTTGCCAGATCTAATTACAAATAATTATTTTCCAAACTAATTTGCAGTAACTTTAACATTGTTGCAATATACAATAAAAAAGTCATCAGCAAACCACGTACTTTAATTTTACAAATATTTTATACAATCATTTATATATTCTCGATAATGTTATTTCAGTTTTCAGAAGATCCAGCACTGCTTAAATTGAATAATTATCAGAAAGCGCTTGTGTAGCAAATAAATTGGAAAAATGAAGAAAATTTTGAAAAAGCAAATTTGATTATCGTTATACTTGATGACTATTTTCTCCGGTCTCGACGAGTGCATGCAGCTGAAGTAGACACATTATTGTATAGTTTATACGTTCAGTTTCTCGATTCTACTAATTTACTTACTTATGCGTTGTAGATTCTTTGTTCAGTAGTTTCTTTTCGTTTGTACAGTAACTGGTAGTAAAATGATTTTTCATTTCTATAGAATCACTAGAATCATCACATAACTCTCTTTTTTATTGTTGACAATCTGTTTTCTCACATCATTCTACAATTCATCGATAGCATTAGCACTTATAAATCACTATGAATCATTTAAAAAGTCGCCATAAGATCTCGTAGCTTCATGTCATCATCATTGTCACTTATACAGAGTGTCTCACCTAACTATAGCTCCTCAAATATCTTGCTCATTGTTGACGATATCCAGAAACGTCAAAGGAAGATATGTTTAGGTTCGAAGGAACAAATATTGTGATATGCAGAATATTTTCTTCAGGGTCAGAGTTTAGGAAATTTGGTCGTTGGCATTGTTTTTTTAATGGAATCTCATATTTTTTTCTCGAATATCTTTACAGATCATAAACAGACGAATTCGACGACCTTAATAACCATAAGTTACGATCAATAAATCCTGAGATATTTGCGTCTGAAAGTTATCTTTCAGACCAAAGTAACTTAGGATTAAACGATCAGAATTTATGGTTAAATAGGTCGTTGGATTCGTCTTTTTATGCTCTACAAGAGTGCCGATGAAGAAACATAAGGTTTCGAAGAGGAAAAATCAATGACCTTGAGATCTCGAAAAGTATGACCTTGAAAATAATATTTCACTCAACAGAATGTTCACCTTTTTAAATCGAATCATACTTTGCTTTGCTATTTCTTGATATTGCCAATGATAAGGAAGATATAGAGGGCGCTAGAGTCAGCTGGGACATCCTATATAAAATTGTAGATTTGATTATTTAATTATTAATTACTTCATCTTAGACGAGTGGTTACACTAACTTGCCGAGTAGCCCGAGAAATTCCGGCTACTCGCGGTACTGATATTTGTATAAGCGATAATTGGTCCTCATGATTGGTAACGCACACCATTTGCTGGGAAAGAAATTCTAATTGAAAAGTTTAATTGTCTCCGTCACTAATTACGAGAACCGAAATTTATTGTGGTGTTCGTCTGCGTAAGTAGTGTAGCGAGAACGAGTCAAAACCAGCGTTTCTCACTATCCGATCTTGCAAGCCGTTTTTTGCAAAATGACGAAATTGAACAAATTCAACCATTCCACTTGAATTCAAGTTTTGGAATTCTAAACCCGTAGAAGCCTAATTTTTTCGATAAAAAAGCAGTCATCGAAAATTAGTTGGAATTCGAATTTTTTGTTTCGGGTCAAAAACAACCTGGCCACCGTCATTCGACGATCATTATTGAGATGAACGGTCTGAGAAACGCTGTTTCGATGGAAACGTTTTCCAGTGATTCAGTATTTTCTATTTTCTATGTTCTGAAGTGTACACATACACATGTGTTCCGATGCATACAAAGATTGTATGAATATCCTGTGTATGCGTATGCAAACGTACATACATTTGATTTAGGATGTTTAGGGTGCAGTTTTTCAGTATATATTACATATATATTTATATATATATTTTTGTTCTCGATGTGTGTCAGTTGTACGTGTTCTATGAGTATATATTATCTATATTATATATGGTACATTGATCGGTTACTATTACATGATCGTACGTTTCTTTTGTGTCAGTTTCTATATTATCGGCTGCAAACGGATAATATACTATACATAGTTTGTAGAGAGCACGGTAGCATTCGACACATTTGTTATTACAATTTCTTTCCAATGGTAACACTAGACAGGGCACATTTCCATATTATTCTATTTCATTCGATTTTTTCGTATGTTGGTTCTTTGTTTTTTGCCTTTTTTTTATATTGGTCGATTTTTTATAATTACGTATAGGTGGTGTTTCATCTGATTATCGTGACAGGTGCCTAACCGCTTGATAACTGTCCGCTGCGGACCGCTTAGCGTGCGCGTCAGAGATGGCCGACGTGGCAGTTATCGTCGCAAACTATACTATTCTCCAACGATGCATGGCATTTTTTAATTTAAAAATACTCAGTGAATGTAATCATTTACACAAATTCCGTAACCATTTATTATGATATCATGTAGCATCAGCTATAGTTCTCACGCTACAAGAGAAGGCACCTTTATATTTATATATTCCCCCTCTTACTAGCCGCCCCACTGCCGCAACTAGTAAGAGAAGGAATATAAGCACATAGGTGCCTTCTTGTCGCGAGAGGACTATACATGATATATTATATTTATATGCTATAGTATATGTTACAATAGAATAGTTGAATCTTAATTATGATATATAAACATTACGATATTATATAATATATTTGTTATATTGTAGTATATATTATTAATTTAATTTTAGTTGTAATATATCAACATTATAGTACATCGTGTTATGATTGTCATTTACGATGTAT